AAGCCTACCATTCTCAATACCATTAATATCAATTACCATTAATATTATCAAGATCTTTGTTATTACTTCTAATCTTCAACGCGTTCTGCTTCGTGTGAGTAGGAGCAGAAGGGCCTTCGCCTTCGTGACCAAAAAAAAAGAGTATTTTCGTTAAATAAAAGTTTTATCGTACAAAAGTTTTGGCTATACCCCAAATTCGACAGTAGCAAAATAGTCATTAAAAAGTAAGACCTAAGAAAATAATTTAACCAACAAGGAGTACTCTTGGGACTAGTTAACATTTTGTTTCAACTGACCAAATTTTAATTCTGTTTGATTACTTTACGTTATTACTTATTAATTTTTTAAACTTTTTTTTTTTTTTTTGGGGGGGGGGGGTGGTCAGGAGTTGTTGCTTTTGTTATAGTGTTCTATTATTCAGACGAAAATTAATGTACGTATCAGTCCAGGAATTTCTGGACTCAAAGAATATATCAAAATCTAAATTTTAGTTTATTCATAACTGTCTTTCAAAGACATGCTCAACGTATTTCAAATTCCCTTTCAAATTTAATGAAAAAAAAGTCCCCCAAAAAGCAATGGATACTGAACAACTTAATCAGTAAATAACTCGGAGATATAAAAAAATCGGCTGGGACACAAAAGGTATACCGGACACAAAGGTATTGTTTTTGTATGAGTTTTACGGCACTTGCAACACAGTAAGGTCATATAAGTGCCGAAGATTAGAGGTGTTACACGGGAGTAACAAACACAAAAAAGAAGGAGGGGAGATAAAGACCATAGATCTTTGATAGGAAAGAATGAGCGAACCAAACCAGATCACCCACCAACCACCCACACACAAAAGTATACCGGACACCAAAAAAACGTGTGCTGGACACACAAAAAACGTGTGCTTTCGAACCATAGAAGACGGTTTTGATGGAAAACTGAGAAGGCCGAGAATTCGGCACATCCACTACTGTGGAACTTGACAGGCATTTTCTTCGGAAGTACGAGAGGCCCGGACTTAACGTGATGTTTACGTGAAGGACAATAGACATTCTGAGAACGGGCAACATGAAGGAGAAGAAGTAGAAGGGGGAAAAGAAGAAGATAAACAATGACAACAACAACAGATATTATCGTAGTAGTAGTAGTAGTAGTAGTAGTAGTAGTAGTAGTAGTAGTAGTAGTAGTAGTAGTAGTAGTAGTAGTAGTAGAAGAAGCGTCAAATAGAGAAAAAGACAAAAGTTCTTGACACTCAGATCTAATTGTCTAACAACTAAAACATATCGTACAAACAGCAGCAGCAGTAGTAGTAGTAGTAGTAGTAGTAGTAGTAGTAGTAGTAGTAGTAGTAGTAGTAGTAGTAGTAGTAGTAGTAGCGTCCAATAAGACAGATTTTGAGACAAAGACAAAAAGGCTGCCGAAAGTTGACACCAGAGATCTTACAACAACGGATCAGTATCACACATGTAGTTTAGCAGTAGTAGTGGTAGTGAGAGAAGCGTCCAGTAAGACAAGATTTCGAGACAAATACAAAAGGCGACAGTTGTTGGTTGGCACACTGGGATATATATAATAACTGAACAACATCGTACATGCAAGAGTAGTAGTAGTAGTAGTAGTAGTAGTAGTAGTAGTAGTAGTAGTAGTAGTAGTAGTAGTAGTAGTAGTAGTAGTAGTAACAGAAGCCTCCAGTAAAACAGATTTCGAGACAAAGACAAAAGGCGACAGCTGACACTAGTAGTAGTAGTAGTAGTAGTAGTAGTAGTAGTAGTAGTAGTAGTAGTAGTAGTAGCAGCAGCAGCAGCAGTAGTAGTAGTAGTATATTTATACAAGCAGTAGAAGCGTCAAGTAAGACATCTTGAGACAGACAAAAAGGCGACCAAAAGTTGACTCTAATCACAACAGATCTCACAATAACTGAACTCACCAGAGTAGCCCCCTGCCTACAGCCGTCACAGTCACACATAGTAGGATGTACCGCCAGGATGCCCTTTGCCAGCAGCAGCTTCAGACTCTTGCCGTGATGTCGGATAGAGCGCTTCCAGTCTTTGGCCGTCTCCCGACCGGACACGAACTGGAACTCATTGGGAGTGAGCCAGGAGCTCTGGAAGCTGATGCACGGCCCTTTACTCCCCTGGCACAGTTTGGATAAGTACAGGATTCCTTTGTTCTGTCCGCACTCCACTTCCAGGACTAGCTCGCCGTCTTTGAAGACAGGCTTGACCAAATCGTCCGTCTGCTCCGAGCTCAGATTTTGGCCGTTGTTAGGCTGAGCCGGTTTGGACGCAGAAGATGATGGGGTGTTGGATTTGGAGGCGCCGTTTGGTAGTCCGCCGTTACTGCTGGAGTTGGAGGAAGAGCTACTGCTGTTGCTGCTGTTGGAGCTGTTGCTGCTGTTGTTGATGATGCCGGGTTTGCTCGACGACTGCGAGCTGGTTTGAGCGTTGACAACGTTGTTCGCCATACTCGCCTGAACGCTGAGGTTCAAACCCGCGTTGGCGAGATGCTGCTGTTGTTGTGCGTGCAGCGATGATAAGTGGCTGATGTCGCTGATGGTGTTGGCCATCGTGATGGTGGACGTGGGCGTGATGCCGTTAGCGGCGGCTTGAACCGCTACGGGCGTCACAACGGTCGGGATGATGGTCTGCGCGACCACGGCTTGTGGTAACTGCGACTGCTGCTGCATGCTGACCACTGGCAGGGCCGGGCAAAGACCGGACACGGCGGCCACCACAGACACCACCGGCAGAGCAGCAGCCGCCGCCCCTCCGCCGCCAGAAACACCGACACCGGCGGCGGTTTTGTTGTTGTTGTCGTCGGCCGGGTTACGTAGCCCCGCGTCCGAGATGGAGAACTGTTGGAAGGGGATGAAGGCGTGCGAGGCCGGGATGTGCAGGGCACTCACCGTCGACTGGACACTCAGCTCACCGGGACCGTCGTGTGCACGAGACAGGCTCATCACGCTACCGGGCACCCGCGGCACGGGATGACCAGCGTATGACGTCACGAAGTCCAGCGCGCTAGCGGGGGACTCGCATTACTCCGGAAAGTTGTGTACAGTAGAACTAACTAGATCTAGATTCCGATTGAATTGTTTTTCTTTCCGAAGTCACACAAAGACTTTGGGGGAATTTTGTGAAATAGTATAATAATACCAATATAATGAAGATATTCCAACTTCGAAGTACAAGTACAACACAGGCTGAAAGTAACGCAAAACAACAACCGCTGGTCAAATGAACAAGTTTTGAAAAAGTTGTGAAGTCTCTCCTCCCGTAGTGAACGTTGTACTGTCGGTACACAGAGACTGCGCGTTGCGAGTCGAGTAATCCTCCTGAACGAATCTTTCTAATAACCACACAAGAGTTTTGAATACAACAATCCAGAACAGAAGAAATCAGAACGATCCGGCTGACAAAGAACGTACCCTACTGTAATCGTGAGCAGACAAAAGTCGTTACTCTCCAAAACAAAGCTGTAAACTTACAAGAAGTTACACACACGAAGCACACAATTTGTCTCTATTTACACCACCACAGCTCGGCGTCGCCTCCGTCCGACTGTTCGCGCACGGATCTATCGCCGTAACTGACGAGACGAGGGCGAGGGCGACCGGAGGGCGGCCAAGTCTGAGGGAAACTGACAAGCCGGGCGGCCAATGAGAAGCGAGGAGCGCTGGCGTTCCGTCTGTATTCCCCTCCCCCTCGCCACCCCTCTCTCGGGCAATCGGCGGCAATCAACTCCGATCCTTTATCACGCTCCACGTAACCGGAGAGGCTCGCGGCCAGGAGATCGCCCCGATGTTTGTTACCTCGCCGCTCCCCAGGATTTTCGGTTAGGCCAAGGCAATAGAAGTGTTGGGTGTTAAGACCACCGGGCCAGCGTGTCAGATCCCCCCTGTGTTCTGTCCGCTTCGTCACAAAAGATAGGCAGGCAGCAGGCAGCAGGCAAGGAAACTGACTGAGTGTCAGTGGTGGTGGTGAACTCGAGAGAGCTGTGCTCCAAACCACAAGGAATATAATAGGTCTGCTACACCCTAGGCTAAAGCATTTTTTTAACACACCACAACCTTTACTTTTGTTGCTGTCCTTTTTAAGAAAGGCGCTACATGTAGACAGAAAAGCGAGATGATACAAAGAAAGAGAGAAGAAAAGAATGAGTGAAAGAGAGAGAGAGAGAGAGAGAGAGGGGGGGGAGTGGAGGGGGTGGGGCGGGATGAACATGTAGAGAGATAGAAAAAAATGAGAGAAGAAGAGAGGGAGAAAAAAAAGACGAATAATTTCTTCTCGGAGTGCAATCCGTTTACCATGTTTACCACATGAATGTGTCTCGTAAGTTAAACGACTGACATCATCATTATTTCTGACAGTGCAATGTTCTCCTGTGAAATGTGGCTCAGGTTGTTCTGATAAGTTGCTGCATTCTTCGGCCCTCAATTATCTCCAGAACTAGGGGTATGTATGCGTATGTGTATGTGTATGCGTATGTGTATGTTTTCGTGTGTGCTGGAGTGTGTATGTTTTCGTGTGTGCTGGAGTGTGTGTGTTTGTGTGTGCATCAGTGTGTGTGTTTTTGTGTGCATCAGTGTGTGTGTTTTTGTGTGCATCAGTGTGTGTGTTTTTGTGTGCATCAGTGTGTGTGTTTTTGTGTGCGCGTATGAGTGGATATATCTATAAATTTGCTGTTGTGTGCCTGTGTATATTATTTGTGTTTACATAATATGTGCATATATGCATTGTGTGAGTGTTGTTAATGTTTCTGTGTGTGTATGTGAGTAAGTGTGTTTGTGTGTGTGTTGAATTTCTGGTTTGTGTCAATTTTAAGATACAGAGATGCACAAGATACCAGAAAAAATCATTACTTGTGGATACTAAAAAAAAAGAAACACCTAGATCTAGCTAAACCCTGTACAAAAAGCTTTATTTCAAAATGTTTCTTGTATCTTTGGAATTTGGAAATTCAGAACAAATAGGCCTCGAGTGTTAACCGTCATTCTGGTATAAAAATGGTATTTCTCTCCCTGAAAATCAAAGTCCCAACGATACTTATACAGCCTCCTGACTCTTAGGGGAAAGCCGAGCGCCTAGCATTTCCTTGGTTGTTGCTACAACGGTATGTTTATAATAAACAGTGAGCAGGATTTGTTCTACGCATCAAACGTTGTTCGGGGTTGAGCATGACAGAGGGTTGGAGTTCGATGCTCTGAGTGGTTGTTTTTTAAATTCACCAATGAAAGTGTAGTATTCTAAGCACTCGTAAAAACTCGTCTTCTTCTAGAACTGTGCGCTATTCATCTGTATAGTATGGATATATCAATGTCATGTTTGTTTTGCTCAAACCATCAAGATGAGTCAGAACGGTGATTTAATATTTTTTAAAAGGACGTGCACACAAAAATCCTATTATCTTATTAGAGAGAGAGAGAGAGAGGGAGAGAGAGAAAGAGAGAGAGTGAAAAGATGCGTTAGAGAGAGAAAGGGAGAATAGAGAACACAAAAGTTCTCCTTCTTCACTCACTCGAGCCCCGCCTCAGAACGAACAACAACAAAAACAAAAACCAACCCCAACCCAAAACAACGAAAACCCACCAGTCAGCCACAAGCCAGAAGCCTGGCCCTATTGGGCCCGTAAACCACACCGCTTGTACTACATTGGCCTACCTCCTGGTCTAAACTTTTTCCCCCGGAGCCGTACCACGTGCGGGCCGGTGATGTTTCTCAAACGCGATGATCCGTCCGGCTATCTCGCACCTCCCCGGCGACATAAGCCATTTGATCAGGCGGAACGGGGGCCTGGCTGGCCGTGTTTACCGCGGCCGGGGCTCGTCGGGACCACTGGCATGTTTGACTACACGAACGCGTCTCGGCCCCGAGGGCGAAAAGGAGGTGGTGGAGGAGGAGGAGGAGGAGGAGGTAGAAGTAGAAGGAGGGGGGTGGGGTGGTGAGAGGTATGGACGACTAGCTCCGTAATCTACCGCAACCCTGCACACAGACAACAACTGCAATACATTTTAAT